GCGCGGGCATGGGGGTCACTCGGCCGCACTACAGCGCACTGCCAGTGCGCGCTCAGTGCGCGCGGTGCGCACGTGCGCACACATCACCCGTGAGCGCATGGCGCACGGTGCAGCGCAGCGCACGGCGCACCGGTTAAGTGCGCCGCAAGTATGGAAATTACCTCTCATCGCCAGCCTATACAACAATGCTGTACACAGCACCACCGGCGTCAGTCCTAATCAGCTGCATCTGGGATGGAAGCCTAGATCTGCTCTAGACTTCCTCCTGCCTGAAAACTGAACTGCTGCAACTCCTGGAACCATTGAATTGGGTGTCCAGTATGAGAAATTGTTACAGCAGACTGTCGAACACATCAAGAAATCTCAGGAAGCTACGATTGCTTCTGAGAACAAATCGCCGACAGTCCACATTTCAGGTAGGGGAACGTGTTTGGGTCAAGGCTAGTGAGTTGGGACATGAGTTTGGCATCTCTAGGAAACTAATGCCTCAGTATTTTGGTCCCTGGGAAGTCTTAGACATTGTGGGGAATGATTTGGATGGTCCCTCGTACGTCATTTGTATCCCTGGTCACCTACGCACTTATCTTGCACCTTTCGCTGAGACAGCACAGTTCCCATCACGGAGATCTATGCTGCCCCCAACCATGGATGGCCACGTGGACGTCGACGACATCCTGGATCACAGAGATACGCCTGTTCCCAAGCCACCTGGCAGGGGAAGACCTCCAAAACCTGCAAGGGAATACAGAGTACATTTCAGGCATCATACTGATCCTAAGGAAGATCGATGGATTCCAAGGGAGGAACTTGTCAAGACAGCTCCTCATATCGTGGCAGATTATAAGAAGAAACTGAAGGGGAAGGCACCAGCATGAAGCATCTCAGTGGACTTCCGAAGCTAAGGGGGATGGAATGTGAGGAACAAGCCCTCAAGGGGCCCTATCAGACATCGCATGATCTGGGCTAAGGCCCCCAGCGAGCCGATTGCCCGCCCTAAGTGAAGGCGGGCCTGAATATTCGTCAGAGGCAAAATTCGACATTTCCATATGTTGGTATTCAGGCTCTCGCAGCACGCCAGTTGGTTGGGTAGACGCGTGAGCTTCACAAAGCTGCGTCATACAGTTGGCCCAGGCCTTGACAGTTGCACCTGGGCACATACACACAAAGCAGGGCCGATACATTGGGAGGCAGACAGTGCAGGCAATGCGGAAGTGCTGCTGCGCTATTGCTTGATGCTGGGCTGCTGCCAAGGGAGGTGACGGGCCGCGTAGTGGTGAAGTGGGGCGCTGCAGGGCAGCGGAACGCAAGCAGCCATAGCCGGGCTGCTGGGCGCCAGGGGGTACAGCGGGTGATCTGGTGGTCTTCAGGGAAGGAGGCGAGTGTGCGGTAATCAAGGTCTGATTGAGGGTGACGAGATACGTACCTGGTGCATGAAGAGAGGTCGGCTATGGAGTTGACAGTCATGTACATTGGTCTTCGAGAGTCGAAGTGAGCCTGTTGCGTGAACCAGCTGTAGGTAGGATAGTCGGGCAGAGTAGGTTGGGCGCTTAGCGCCAGACAGAGAGGAGCGACTTTTGATACTGTGTTGGTGTGGCCTACGGGCGTGAACATTGGCTCATTACTTCATTGTATTGCTCTATATAGATGGTTTCTCGGTGCATTTTGTACTCTCTGCTTGGATACGACTACCTGGACATCTGTGCGATCTCGCAACATTGGCTAAAACGACACATGCAAGTCATTCCCCAGAAACTCCAGCCACTCATGCACCTCTTCCATAGAATCCCCAGCTGCAAAACGGGAACCACTGATTTACAAATCTTATGAACAAGTCCTAATAATGAAAGAATTTAGCGAACAACATCAAATATTGCTATGGATTTCTCTTTTTTGCATCTTTTGCAGTGAAAGTACCTATGTAACCAGTTGATATTTGGTCACCTGAAGCTCATGTAGAATGTAAGTTAAACCACCGGTACTTGGCCCAGCTTTGGGCCATGGAAAAAAATAGAGTAGAAACGTTTCTAGTCGGATGAATTTGGGCGCTCTTGCCACGGCCTGTACCTGTACGTTTCCTAAAATCATGGCTCATTAATGGGCACGACTTTAGGAAGTACAGGTGGTTTTTTAAAGGCGTTTGTTGGAACTCTCAGAGAGGCTCTTCTTTTCTTTTTTTTTTTTTCCTTTTTTTTTTTGGGTCATTTACTTGTTCACAGCAATTCTCTGTGAACATGCATCGCACAAATTTCATCATGGGTGGCCATGATAGGCCGGTGCAGAAAGGAATGAGATGAGACCTCCAAGCAAACCTGCAACGGCTGAGTTCTTTTCGATAACAACATCAAGAGTTCGGACTTCAAATCCTAGGCCAAGAATTTGGACTGTAGGAAACTCAGCTTGTGGGGGAGAAAGGAGCTGCTTTAGAGAAGGATGCATCCAGCATAGGTAAGAGTACCAGCAGGGAAGCGAACAGCCTCCTTGAAGAGGTTGCAGAAGGAACTGGCTATAATAGGGGTCAGAACGGGCTCAGTGTTACCCCTATTATAGTCAGTTCAAGGAACCGCGTATGCGGCTGCATGGTATGTGTACCATGCCCAGTGTAACCCTGCGTATGTGGCTGCATGGTACACACCTGTAACTGTTGATAGATCATGAGCTCGAGTCCTCATGGAATCAGATAGGTAAAATCATGTTAGGTGCCACCCCCTTCAAGAAACACAAAAGAACGGGGTGGCACTGCTTAGCCATGGTATCTGCAACCACTTTCCGGCAGGTCATCCGCGTCGAGAGAAGACTGGAGGGTGATAGTCCTGAGTGGGAGACACTAAGGTAGGATCGTGGGAGTAGGGGTGAGCCAGGAAAATCTTAGAATGAAAGGGTTCGGAGGGAGTCTCATAGGAATAAGGGGCCACTATAGCATCTGATGACCACATGGCCGAGTACTGAGGGTGGCTGTCATATGTCTAGAATCCAACCTCTACAACAACCTGGGCTTTATAAATAAAATAAATAAATAAAAATTATAAAAATTATAAAATGATTTAATGAAATGAAAAAGAAGGGGGTCAATCGAGAGGATGTGGGGGTTGCGCCTCTTTGCTGAGGGAATCCCAAAGGTGGAAAATTGAATTTCGCTAGTAGAAATGGTGTCTTGAAGAAGATCCAAAGGGCACGGGGAATAGAGAGTGTAAGGAAGGGAAGCCTCCCCAGGATTACCCAATAGGGGCGCACAGGCAACGGCAAGAAGTGCCTACCACAGCCAGTGTCACAGCAAGCTCTGAAAAACTACGACCACGATGCTTAGCGGCAGAGAAAGCATCCCTACAAAACCAAGAGCTTGTATTGCTTGTTTTATGTTCACCCTTCACATCGGAAAGCTGATTGGCTTTGTTTGATTGCGTTTGAACGACCTTCAGCTCATCAACAGAGCATTCCTACAATGATTTTTGGGAGTCTGTTGCTTTTCTTCTCTTCCTTTGCAGATGGAAAAGCAGTTGACATTTCAACCTGAGCTGACTGTGCACAAGTCCAAGGTTCCCGTGCAGTCTCGTTACAGGGAAATCCCCGTGAGACCAAGTGTTGGTGCTTCTATGCTGACCGCGCATTTATGGAAACCGCAGGTAACCAGTTCTTGATTTCCCTCACCACAGCTCAACTCTCCCCCAATATCAACACCTCCCCCCTCACCCACCCACCCTCCTCTCCCTTCTCTCTCTCTCTCTCCCTCTCTCTCTCTCTCTCTCTCTCTCTCTCTCTCTCTCTCTCTCTCTCTCTCTCTCTCTCTCTCTCTCTCTCTCTCT